TTATATTTATTTTATTTTTTTTTAAATAATAATAACGCCATCATAATCGATTTTTGTTGTAATTTATCCCCCACCCCTACATCCACCCTCACCCTCACCTTTGTAAAAGGCGTATTTCAAATACTAGAATTAAAGTTTAATGAGCAGTTCATCAACAAAAAAAGTTATTAAACAATAAAATTTCCATAGTGCTGCCAATGCGTGTTTATGTTTGTGTGCTTCTTGTGTAAGCTGAAAGATTCGAAGAAATATTGTGAAATATCAAGTCTTCGAATGGTTTAGAGGATTTTGTAGTCGAGCAGTCTCGACTAGAACTTTCTTACTTGTTTATCTACGTATTTATTAATAATAATGTTTATGTCGAACTGTGTGATTTCATAGAATGTTAGTGTAAACTGTAGTGAGTTGTCGTAGAGTACATGTTAATAATATTAGTTATGCAAGTGTGGTAGGATTTCGGTAATTAAGTATACAAAGTTAATGCGTATGTTAATGCGTGTCTGGTGGATGCCCCATATGGGCATTTCCCCAGAAAGGTCAACCACAGCCAAAAAGTGCAAGTTCAATAAATAAACACATAAATGCGTATACTTAAAAACTTAGATCGTTTAGGGATCAGCAGAGGGGTTTTCGCCAGGTGAGTTCGATATCGTGAGTTAGTCCGAGGTATTTTTATTGAATCACAGTTATTAATTGTTGGCCTTTAAGTGTGATAGTGGGGCATAGATTATATCTTTGAAAGTCTTGTTTTTTTCCCTCGAGAAATGCCCTATTCTTTGGAACGTAATGAGAATTTCTTAACATAGTATTAAACACGGCAGCTGAAGAGAGGTAATATAATATCATAACAAATTTGCGACAGTTTTTAATCGGCGATATGAGCTCGATCTGGGCGTGCAATACACTTGACATCAACGCATTCACACATATGGTGAGACGGACGGGTGGAGGGACAGACGGTCAGATGGGCATCAGATAGGCGTCTTCCACGCCTCCTTTTGCCTGAAATGTATTTAACAAACCCAATTTACCCTATTTTACAAGTTTCGATGGATTTAGGGTATAATTACGGAAAGGTTTACGGATAACAACATACGATACATACAATATATGTATATGGCACTCCAAATACTTATTACGTGTGTATCGTTGTATTATACATACATAAATTAATACTGTTACTTATAGATATACATAGGTAATTTATTTATAATTCGTGAAAGTGCTGTCAACTGCATAAAGGTATTCCATTTCTACATATGGGCATTTCCCCAGAAAGGTCAACCACAGCCAAAAAGTGCAAGTTCAATGAATGCATGTTCTGATAACATTTTTTTTTTTATAACTAATCGATGTAAAATAATTAAAATTAATTTAAATTTAACTAGTATAAACTAATTTTGCATTTATTTAAAACACATCTCGAAATATTTACACACACAGCCGAACAAGTGCCAAAGTTCTTAAAGAGAGACACTATACAATGAAATATTATTTTTCAAATCTTCGTTTATGCTTAAAGAGTAAAAGAAAAATATAAAAGGTACGATGCAATTACTAAAAAATTTAAAAAAAAATAAATAAATAAATGTATGGTGTAAAAAATGTCTTATACGACACGTCACCTTCGACCCTGACTAAAACTAAAAAATAAAAAAAAAAAAAACTCAATTTTTTTGAATCAAATAAAAAACATGTTAAAGATGTGCCAATTTCTAAGGTTTCTTAAGGTTTCGCTAAAATCTCAGGTTGAACTGTTCATTTAAAAAGCGACTTACATTTTTTGTAGCCTGCGAACCTCTTGGTTTTTTTGTGATTATATTGAAAACTAACATTTGCCTAAAATCAGATTTAGCACTAATTATAGAGCTAATCAAGAGCTAAAAGATTCACTAATCGTCAAAATAAAAAAATTTTTTGGCATTCGTTTTTTTTTTTTTTAAATTCAAATTCAATTGGCTGCCAAAATGTTATTTTCATACTTTTTTTACCGGGTTTATATTTATTCAATGGGATCTGTATTTAAAGCAGTTTGCTCACTTTAGTCTTGTACTTGTATTTTCTTGAAATAATGAAAGTTTAGTTGCGAAATTTCAGTCCATAGAGAATGCTTCAGTACCTTAAACAAGCTGTTGGTGTGGCAGAAGACACAAATCAACACCGTGAGATTGTCAAGTCAAAATCAGAGTACCAGTTGTAGAAAGTTACGATAGTCTCACTTCATGTTCAAAGCAGGGCGTATCAAATTTACACACATACAACTGTATGTGTGTCCTTCCATTATAACATCTGCTTGCAACGAGCAATGCAGCAGCAGTAGAAGCAGAGAAGCTGCCAGCACACACATTGAACTATTGTCATGAGCTATTATTCTGTTTACATCTTATATATATATATGTATATATTTGTGTATATATATGTATATTTTGTACTTATATATTAATATATA